CTATTTTTTGATCGTCCTGTAAAATGGAAAATATTACATCCAAACTTAGCAAATTAACTGCCATTTGAATTGCAAGGCCATGTCAGTGACTATGACCTATAAATTTTGAATCAAATGGTTTTCAGATAAGTAATATAATTTTTTCAGTTTGCAAGGTTTGTTCAACAAACCTAAGAACAGTGTAAAAGAATGTAAATATGCAAGTTTTCTTTTTCTTCAGCCTCCGAAGAGAAACCCTGCAGCCTGCTCTTCGTTGCCATCAAATAATCTAAGAGCTTGTATCACTGCCTCTCTTGCAAAACCGAGCTCCACAAGCTTCGCAACTTTGGCTTCAAAATCAGGCTTCTGCAGTTAAATGATTTCTAAATTAAGAATTCTAATGTAAACTGATCCGATCAACTTAAAAATAAAAATGAAGCAACCAAATCCAAAGTTCAGTAAAGCTTAGAGAAGTTTTTGACAAGAATTGTTCATGGCAGACTAACCTGAGTGACATCGCCACGGGCACCTCCTGTGAGCCAAGATTCAAGAAGAGAAGAATGATAGAGCTTTCAGTATCATAGACAATAATAAGATGAAACAGAAGAAAATGATGGATAAAGCACAACCAGTGTCAGAACTTCCACAAAAGCAAGCAGTGGCCACATCTTACAAGTAAGTTTGCTAAATGAAAGATTAGAGTTAAAAGAAATCCAAGCAAGTCAACCATAAAGTGTGAAACCAGTTTAAAATGAGGATTGAGACAGATGAATCAGAAGCATAAAACTAACCAGAAGTCTGTCCTGCTTGTGCATGAGAATTCTTTTCAGTTGCTCCAGATGGAACCTGAAGAATCAAAAGACTCACTAGTAGTCTAGTAACCAAAGCTAACAAATACTTAAATATGTTGCTAAACAAAAAGATGTAAAATTGCAGATTATCCACCATGCTTCCCTCAGGCAATGTCATATGAACTGTAAAATTCTGTGTGACCCACATAGGTCACCTGAGAATCATATGTTCATAGTCCAGTAGATTTTAGACACAAGAAATATGGTAAGTTGCATCCAATAGGTCTACAATATCTCTGCATCATTCTCCGCATGATACTGTTTCTTAATACTTCTAAGTAAACTAGTTTGTAGAACATAAAGCATTCAGTGTAAGTGGTAGGGTACACCATACATTTATAGAACAGGAAATATAAACAGCTCATTGTTTGAAATGCCAGTCATGCACCATCAATGGAATACCTCCCATCAAAAACCTGTAATCAAATGTAAGACTTACTGCAGTTCCTGAGCTGGACGCTTGCTTGGAGTATCTTTCTTCATCAAGAAAATGGGATGGGATGTCTTTTTCTGAAAACAACACATGATCCAGTTAATTCCACTTTTCATCCAAGTCAGAGAAAGATGAATACACAGATTCAAACATCAACCTTGCAAAAATGGTACAGAAACTTCTCCTCCTCCAACTCTCAGGACATTCTCCTTCAAATCAATAATGCACTGCAGATATTGTCCAATTCAGTTACGGATAGAATTGCTAAAATTGTAAGGTAAATCAACATTTGGATTAAGTGAGGATGATTTGACCTGGTGTTTACGGAGCATGTCCAATCCAAATAGAAACTCCATATTGGGGGCGTCCAGGACCAAAAAGGAGCATGGATAAAATATATTTCCAATCTACAATAAAAGAAACATGTAAATCAAGAAGTTGGGTAAAGCATCAAGTATAACAAACGATGATATAGGTCTATCACTTGCACATTACCAGGAAGTTAGAATGCACCCTACCTTGATTGGAGCAACGTGTATCCTACCCAGTATCTCTGATTGGCCAACTCCATGAGCAATACCCTTATAACGGTTATCTAGAAGCCTCAGCAATCTGGATTGACAATGTATGAATAGAAACAAACTTAAAAACCAGCCCTCCAATTTTAACTCTTCTGAGGATTATAAGCCATAATATTGACATCACTCCTTATAAGAATAATAACTGGAAAGAACATCCATGAACAGCACTGTTCCTTTCAAAGAAGCCAAACAGTGATGCTAATACAAACAACCTCACCCCTTCCCAGAAGACAACAATAAGAATACTAAAATAAAAATTCAATTGTGTTACATTGACTTGTAATAAATGGATACTCTTAGATATGCATTCAATCAGCAGGACCAAAAATAGAAAAGGACACATACCCACATCGCTCAGCACAGCTTTTTGATATTATGGTTGACTGTGCACCACTATCAACAAATGCCTGACACAACATAAAATAACATCCATGTTACGGCTTGGGTGCATTCCCTCTTCTGAGTCGGAGGATACGTATGAAAATTACATAAGGTGCACAGTTTCCAATAAAATCCCATAATTGAAGACAGAAAAGACATTATTAAACACCATGACAACTGTAGCAAAAGTATTATGGAAAGATGCAGAAAAAAAGCACACCCATTTGCAGCCCATAATGTACTGCATTAGGGGAAAGAAAAAGACCAATTTAATCATAGGCATTAATCATCTGATATTGTTCTGAATCAATGTATAACAATAATGTAAGAGCATCATGAGCACAAGATAAGCTATTCTTAATTGTCTAGATTATACCTTCAATGGGACACCATTAACCTCCATGTCAACATACAACATAACCTGCAAAAATTGAGAATAAATATTAAACTTTGAAGGGGGAAACAGGGGAAAAGAATTCAAGAGTTACGTATAACTGACAAGTGTACTTACCACCCTTGCAAAACCCTCTGGATTATGCTCCAAGGCAGCTGCCCAATTCTCATCGATTCCTTTCTGCATATAGGATTCGCAACATCACAAAAGGTCAAACAAAGAAAAGGTTAAAGAGATTTAATTTAAAAAGAAGTGTTGACTTTTTCCTCATTTAAGGGAAAAGAAGTGTTGACTTTTTCCTCATTTAAGGGAAAAGAAAAGGTTAAAGAGGATTTAATTTAAAAAAAAAAAAAAGGGAAAGAAGGAGGTTCAAGGGTCTAAGTGATTCAAATGATTCTTGGAGATCTAAAAACAAAAAAAGTCCAAAGTATTTAAGGACTTTAACGTGATCTTCTGCAGCACCCCACTGCAGAAGATTATTACCCTTTCTTCTCCAACACGATGTACGCCAGTCGTAATAATCCTAGTCCAAGTAAAATCAGCACTTCTTTTGAACATTTCATTTTGTATAAATAGCGTTTTTGTTCAACTAGGAGTTCTTTATTACAGATTCTGGAAATCTCATACCTTTATCCATTTATCTGTAAGAAAACAGAAAAGAAAGAACACTGACCTGACGAATGGAAGCTTCAATTTTCTTTTGTGCTTCAATATCAAAAGGATCAGCATGGAGAAGAGCCTAAACCACCAAATAAATAAAATATATCTATCATGCAACAGGCAGCATCACATAATTTCATCTAACAGTAATCTATAGGAACTTAAGGCCACAAGCAAACAGTAGAAGCTACTTACAAGCTCCTCCTCTTGTTGACGCTGCAACTCAGATCTTTGACGATGACGGGCTCTTAAAAGGTCTTGTAAATTATTGAGATCATTTCCATTTATAGCTTGCGCAAGTTCAGGATCAGCCTGAAATAATTGTCCTAGAAGATTGGAATCGCGTCGTAGGTGCTGCTGGAGTGCTCCAGCGTTCACAGCAGAACCATCAGGATTCAAGCCCAAATCATTGTTAGCTGGTCTGAAATTATTCAGTTTCTTATTAATTAGCAGAGGTCAGGAGAATAGAGACCCTCAGAAATCAGAATATACGATATAGAATATATGATAATAATATTTAGACACATTAATCTTGTAAAGTTTCAGATTGAGCTTCAAATGCAAACAGTAATGATAAATAACAAGAAGGAATGACTCAATAAAAGCATGAAAAAAACTGTCTTGAACAACTTCTGACAGATGGTCACCATAATAAATACTGCAAAATCACATTCTGCTTGCTGACCTCCGCATAAATGTCCTATCAAAATTCAAAGTTAATGTAAACTGAAATAACTACTTATTTCCCAAGAAGATCAAGCCAATATAGTGACCTACCAAACTAGAAAAAATAAACAAAGCAAAAGATCACAAATTTCTAATCTAATGACGAATTTTATTGATGTCAAAACTTTCAAAACCTAATAGCTTTCTAAAATCCACAGTTGATGAAAGCAATTACATTACTACATATACCAATGCAGATACCTAGATTCAACACCAGAGACCATCATGATTAAATCGTCATCCTTCACACCCAATGCACTCAGTTTCTCAGAGTCCCTCATTTCCCTCCCATTGAAAAGAAGCTGCTGTTGCTGAAGTGGCACATTCGTCTGCTCATACAAATTTAAGAAAAAATCAATTCAAGCTGCAGTCAATCTACCAATCTTTCTTCTTAAACCAAAGCTACTTATAGTCTATAAAACAAAATAAAATCAACTAAAACAATAAAAAAAATTACAAAGACATTCATAAATGAACATTCGCTAGGCTCCAAACTTTCAAAACCCAGTAAAGCAAAATAAAACAAAAGAACAATGAACACCCAATTGAAAAATGTTAAAAAGACTTAGACTTTGTCTTGAACCGAAGATGAACAAGAATTCAATAATCCAATCTTTATCAGAAACATAACCCAAATCAATTAAAACCAAAAACAATCTTTCACCTCCACTTCGAGCAAAGCCTTCACGTTTTCCACCTGCCACAAAGGAAAATACAAACATTAGTACACAATCCAATCTCGACAGGAATAGCAAGTGGAAAATCAGGGTTCACGGTACTTTACAGTTTCATGAGGATCGACGTCAATGGTAAGGATCTGTTCGTCGGCGGTCATTACAGTGACTTTCATCTTGGCTTTCTGTACCTTCCAACGATCAGACCTGTCGCTGACAGAAGATTATAAAGATGGAAACTTTATCTTTAGTCTTTTGTGCTTCCCCTGAACTTGTTGAGTTCGTTTATGGCTGATTTTACTCGGACTAAGATTATTACGAACGGCGTACTTCGTGTTGGAGAAGAAAGGGTAAATAGTCTTTTCAGCGGTGGGGTGCTGCAGAAGATAAAGTTAAAGCCCTTAAATCCTTTGGGCCTTTTTTGTTTTAGACCTCCGAGAATACTTTGAATCACTTAGACCCTTAAACGTCTTTTTTGTAAAAAAAAAAAATTAAAACCTCTTTAGACTTTTTTTTTCCCTTAAATAATAAATTAAATTAACTATTTAAAACCCAAAGAGCGTGCAAATAAGGATTCCAACTTTGCACTTTTTTTTATTTAAAAATGTTAATTTTGTCAGTTTCTAAATAAGGATGTCAACTTTTAATTTTTTTTTAAATAAGGATATTAATTTTCAATTTTTTTCTAAATAAGGATGTTAA